CTCCACTGACGACCACCCCCTCCCAGTAAAAAGGTCATTTCACACAAACCATACATTTATCTTATTTAATCAAGTCATAAATGTAAAATGCAATAAATAAATACATCCTAAATGCAATCCTTATTTAAATAAATATATGCATTGCCGCTGCTCACCATTTCCAACTGAGTGTGGCACTGGGTCATTGAGAAAAAGTGCTTCCAGCCTCCACCTGAGGGGGGCGGTATGCTTTAAAAGAGCAGATCAGGCATGTAGTCCGGAAGAAAAAGGACACTGCAAAAAATGTCTACCTAACAAAGTTTTAAAATATTATTTCCAGCCAAAAAGTAATTTTTGATCTTGTTTTGAGACTGATTTATTAAACAAGAACTGATTATGTAAGAATAATAATCTTGTTTTCAGAATGTGTAAGATTATTTGTCTTGTTAATCTGAAAATTTGACTCTGATTAAGCCAAAATTTTCTGCCAGTCGAGTACGAAAATTTTACTTGGTAAAATTCTTGAAATAAGAAAAAAAATGGAGTCAAACCAAGTATTTCAAGAATCTTACCAAGTAAAATTTTCTTGCTCCATTTGCAGAAAATTTTGACTTAATTTGAGTCAAATTTTCAGATTAACAAGACAAATAATCTTACACATTCTGAAAACAAGATGATTATTCTTACACAATCAGTTCTTGTTTAATAAATCAGTCTCAAAACAAGATCAAGAAGACTTTTTGGCTGAAATAAGAGTTTAAAACTTGGTAAGATGGGCAGTTTTTGCAGAGTTGTAACAGATTAGGCTGAAATAAATCATTAAATTCTCACACTCTGACTGTAATGCTTCTGTTTATTCTGAGACCTTTTCCCTCTCTGAGCTAATTTGTTTCATTTTACTTTTGTTATCTGCTCACTGTGCCCCCCGCCCTGCCCGGGCCCCTGCAGCCCCTCGGTCAGGTGGTGGTGGGGGGGTTGGTGATCTGGCAGGGCCTTAACGATCAGCCGGCACGCGAGCTGCTCGTTAGTAACCCGGTGATTTTAGCAGGTTGCATGCGAAGGGATCAGCTCAGACCAGCTGAGTCATTTTCACTCTCCCTGCCCTCAGGGGGCAGCAGGCGGGGGGCAGTAATCTCATTAGCAAACATAACATTTGTAGAAGAGCCTTGGATTGTTGGATTAACCCCCCCCACCACACACACACACACACACACACACACACACACACACACACACACACACACACACCACCTCTCAGTTAAACAGGTCGGCTCATACCCTCCACTAAACCTGTGGAATCAGGTAAATCTGAATAATCTGGGATTATTTCTTATGAAAACTGTTGAAGCAGACAGGTGGGAGAACAGCAGAGGGCGCTGCTCACCTTCAGCTCATTTTATTCATTCATACAAACTGATTTACTGAACTCAAACTAGGGTCTGCAGCTGAACACAGTGTTGTATCCTGGGTTTGGTAATAAAAACTGGTGAAATGTAGAAGAACAGTAAGTTTCTGTGACAGCTTCTTCCCCACCGCCATGAACACTGCATCATTCCCAAGTCTGGATTACAATCTGCTCAGATTTGTCTTCATTACAGCTGCTGACCAAACATTTCCTGACTCTGGAAAAACTTCAGAACCAACAATATAACAGTATCTAATCTACCTGTTCATTGTTTTTGCACACATACTGTTTTGCACAAATGCAAAGGTATTACTATACTGAATATCTTTCTATTTGTACCACCTCCACCTCATCTTGATCTG